TTCAAGCATTATCCTAAAAGATACATAATTGCAGTAAAGTAGATCTGTTTGATCTATTCGAAAATAGCACTTACAGTGATTTTCTTCCTTAGTGAATATAGAATTCTGCCATCAGAGTGAGCATAAATGCAACTAGTAATTGTAGAAAAGTTGGTGCAAGGCAGGTGTGGTTAAAGCTCTTAAGCAAATTAGAAGGAGGTGGCCATGGTAGTCACAGCTATAGGTCATGGAAAGAGACAGCAAGCTCTCCCTAGACTTCCTGATGTCCAGGTTATAATTTAACTAGCCTAAAGTGGGAAGGGGGATAGAATGAAGGGATAAAAGGCTAGTTTGGGGGAAGAGGCAAAGAGCTACTACTTCAAAAACATACATAGGACCCCAACTTTGGGTGTGGTGAGGGAGAAAAGGGAAAGAAGAAAGGAAGAGTGCTTAGAACCAGCAGCCAGGGATAACAGTTTATCTTTTATAAACAAAGAAAAGAGAAAAGACATTAAGCGTTGTACCAAGTATCCTCAAGTGCTGGTTGGTAGCTTGACTGCTACACGGCATAAGGAGCTGTGAGACAATCACCTTGTGAATTCAGCTGGGGGTGAATTTTGGTTCGGAAGGCCAAGATGAAGAAAAGCAGAGATAACAGACTGGAGGGAACTTGGAAGCAATAGAGAGGAACGCTGCTACATGGGACTCCATACCAAGCCAATTATGGTCAATATTTTTGCCAAGGGACAGGGAGAGCTCCACTTTTTAAAATATACTTTTATTATAATTTTTCAATGCAATAAAAGTATAAAAAAAGAAGATAGAAAATAAGAAAAAAGAACGGAGAGCTCCATTGTTTAAACAGGACAATGGAGAATTCATCCCCACTGAGATCAATACCTTAACTGAAATCAATACCTTAAGATTGTTTAATGCTAGCAATGTACCTGTGTTATACTGTTCATGTATCTGTACACTGTTTCCAAGTGATGTAAATAAAAGTTGTAATAAGCTCACAACAGGGGCAGGATATTTTTTACTAGATACTCCAGAACTTGCTCCATAGAGTCCCTCTGCTGAGGGCAGCAGGCCTGATGAGAATCAATTCTATAGGAGAGCTCAAAGAGATTCTGCTTAGGAAACTGCAGGAGTTGGGGGTGATCAGCTCTTGAATTTAGGGTTAACTTTAATGTTACAATGGAGGCTACATAAACTAAACTGACCTTCCAATGTATTGATGGGATCACAGGTTTGGAGCTTAGATTAGCAAAATGCCATTATGGGGAAATTCCACAACCAACTCTCACTACTTAGAATTCCCTGAAGTCCTCTTGCTTTCCATTATTGTTCTGTGACACAGTACCACACCCATCATGAGAGTGATAATTAAGCATTTATTCGTAGAAATTTCCATCAGAGATGGAACTTGCTGCCTACGGTAAGATCTGACATTGCCACAGATATGTGAATATAGCAATGGCATGGTTGTTTCAGATCTAGATGGCCTTTCCTGTGATTCTAATCTTCACATTCAAGATGCCATGAAATATCGCCACAGAAAAATAGTTCTTATACACTAGAGCAATGTTTCTCAACTGTGGCAACTTTAAGATGTGTGGACTTCAACTCCCAGGATTCCTGAGCCAGCCTTGCTGGCTGGAGAATCCTGGGAGTTGAAGTCCACACATCTTAAAGTTGCCACGGTTGAGAAACACTGCACTAGAGGCTATTAGAAAACCAGGCTTGTGTTTTTACTGCAACAGGATGTGGAAGAGATCTATGGATTTTGGTTTGTTGCAATCCAAGGAACTGTGATATTAAAGGATGGTTACAGTGAGTATTTTTTAAACATACAATTGTTTACCCAGACATACTACTTACTAAATAGTAAAACATGAAGTCTGGACCCACAGATTACGTAGTGAGAATAGCATTTATAGCTCCTTTTTTAAAGTCACAGCCTTACAAAATGGCTGCTGCTGGTTCTTTATAAGACGATATTAGTGTTCCCCATATGGTTGTATCCTTGAGTATGTATGATTGCATAAAGAAAATATGCACCCTTCATTTTTTAGCAAACTTGATTTTGCTTCCTTGGGAGGATTTTATTTTATTACCCCACTTCTAACAGCAGCTTTCCACACCACAATTTGCATTTTAAACCTAGGGAGCCATAAAAGCATTTTGCAAAACAACATGTAAAAGCTGCTATTGCCTCTGCATCACTGTATGTATGGGAGGGCAATTTAAAGCCAATTTTAGTTTACACAAACCTTTTTGCTTGGCTAAAAGGACTCCCTGTATTGCAGTCTCTGCTCCTCCTACATGAAAAGTACAACACAACCAGTCCATTTTGGACAGCTCTTGCAAATCTGCTGTATTGTAAAACTTGTAGGCTTCCATATGCTCTTGGAAAACAGAAGTGTGTAAAGAACAGCGCATGGAAAGAAAACACTAGGCAGAGTCTTAGAAAAAGCTTACTTCATTCTGATGTGTAGACTAGTAGAAACAGTACCTTTCACTGCATGCTTCTAGATTTTCATTAAAGTTTTAAAAAGCTTTCTTAATGTAAATTGGTCTATTGGGTAAATGCCCAATAACATTTCTTCCCACAGAGGAAAAAAAGAAACATGTTACAATAACATGGTCCTATGCCTCTCTGCCCAGAAATGAGCCCTACTGAGCTCAATGGGACTCAATCCAGGCAAGTCTTTAAATGGCTGCAAGCAAGGTTGGAAGTATTTGGTCCTCCTGATGATGTTGATTCACAACTCCTAGCAATCCTAGCTAGTAAAACCAATGATGAGGAACTCTGGGAATTGTAGTTCAGCAGAAAAAAAATCAAAAGGTTTTATATCCTTTATCTCAGCTTTAAAAGATACCACTAAAGTAGTAGTAGTAATTACTATTATAGTAATGTTATTATTTGATTAATGTCTTAATTTTTTTCATACAAATCAGAAGTACTGTAGAAGTGTTATGTCTTCCAGATGTTTTGGACTACAGCGCCTGCAAACTCTGTATCTTTTCCCCTAATTCCATGATTATCCCTCTGCAGCTGCTGCACAATCCTGGGAAATCGTATATTTGATTTAAGGAGTTGCAGAAAGGCACTATGTTCATGGGCCTGCATGCTCCAAAACATCTTTTTGCTCTCAAACCTGCACATCTGTAATATATATGAAAATAAAGTTTGAAAAATTATTTAAAAAGTTGTTGTTTTTCTTAGCATTTCTTTGGCACGGTTGGAGTCTACTGGTTTTGGCACTGCACTTGCCTAGTTCTTTATCACAAAGCTTTGTTTAACAACTGGCTTATTGCAGAGTGACACTGATTGGGCTTGAGAGGAAGCAGCTGGCCCAAGATCACCCAGCTGTCTTCTGTGCCTAGGAGAAGACTAAAATCTGGATTTCTCTACTCCTAGTCCAGCACCGTAACCACTATACCAGGGTTCCTCAACTTTAGCAACTTTAAGATGGGTGGACTTCAACTCCCAGAATCACCCAGCCCCCCCACCCTGCCGGGGAGTTCTGGGGGAGGGAGTGCACCCCAGCTAATGGTG